TAGAAACTAATTCTACTTTATAATACACCATTTAAAGTATCACGTTCTTTGTTCTTCTTCTTAATGACTTTGAACCCTATGTTTCAGTGGTTCTAAAAGCTGTTGCGACATCCCAACTTACAGGCGATATTTTAATAACACACAAACACACACACACGCACAACACAGTTATAAAAACACGAAAGGATGTGTTTATAATCTGCATGTTTTTATTGGTACTTCCGGTCAACATCCAGGCATGAATTTGTTGCATTGTTACAGAATAGAGGGTATGAGATAAATTAAGTACTGACATTAGCAGCCATTTAGATGAAACAATAGACAATATAAATAAGACATTTTCATAGCTCAAATGATTAAATTTAACATTTCCATATTAGTAGAATGACTGCTATGCGAACTATCTTGAAAACAAAAACAGGCGAAAATGACATAATTTCATAGTAAATTGTTCAAACATCACCTGAAATCCGGAAGAAAGATGAAGGAAATCACAGAGAAAGATGAATGAAATCACAGAGAAAGATGAATGAAATCACAGAGAAAGATGAATGAAATCACAGAGAAAGATGAATGAAATCACAGAGAAAGATGAATGAAATCACAGAGAAAGATGATTTTTTAAGTGTATCCATTAACTGTGGTCAGGTCTGTATCTATCAACTGTAGTCTGGTCTGTATCTATTAACTGTAGTCTGGTCTGTTTCTAGCAACTTTAGTCTGTTCTGTATCTATTAACTGTAGTCTGGTCTGTTTTAGCAACTGTAGTCTGTTCTGTATCTATTAAATGTAGTCTGGTCTGTTTCTAGCAACTGTAGTCTGGTCTGTATATATTAACTGTAATCTGGTCTGTTTCTATTAACTGTAGTCTGGTCTGTATCTATTAACTGTAGTCTGGTCTGTATCTATTAACTGTAGTCTGGTCTGTATCTATTAACTGTAGTCTGGTCTGTATCGATTAACTGTAGTCTGGTCTGTTTCTATTAACTGTAGTCTGGTCTGTTTCTAGCAACTGTAATCTGGTCTGCTTCTAGCAACTGTAGTCTGGTCTGTTTCTAGCAACTGTAGTCTGGTCTGTTTCTAGCAACTGTAGTCTGGTCTGTTTCTATTAACTGTAGTCTGATCTGTATCTATTGACTGTAGTCTGGTCTGTATCTATTAACTGTAGTCTGATCTGTATCTATTAACTGTAGTCTGGTCTGTATCTATTAACTGTAGTCTGGTCTGTATCTATTAACTGTAGTCTGGTCTGTATCTATTAACTGTAGTCTGGTCTGTATCTATTAACTGTAGTCTGGTCTGTATCTATTAACTGTAGTCTGGTCTGTATCTATTAACTGTAGTCTGGTCTGTATCTATTAACTGTAGTCTGGTCTGCATCTATTAACTGTAGTCTGGTCTGTATCTATTAACTGTAGTCTGGTCTGTATCTATTAACTGTAGTCTGGTCTGTATCTATTAACTGTAGTCTTGTCTGTATCTATTAACTGTAGTCTGGTCTGTAACTATTAACTCTAGTCTGGTCTGTTTCCATCAACTGTAGTCTGGTCTGTTTTGAATTTTTCGGTGTTACCTCACGCCCACATGTCAGTGGTAGTCAGGGATTTCAAAAATAAATACGAGAATCCTGATTCTCCCTTTAGGAATATGACGTCAGCACTTAAGTGGCGGGGCCTTTGTTTTCAGGGATGTTGGGGGACTTTGTGTTCAGGGATGTTGGGGGACTTTAATGCCACCGTTTAATGTTATTTTTGAGTCTTTAGCTCCGTGGTTCTCCACCTGTGTGTCGCGACCCCTTTGGGGATCGCACGACCCTTTCCCCAGGGGTGGCCTAAGACCATCTGAAAACACATATACCCTACGATTGTAAAGTATCAAGCAAAACATTTTTGTGGTTGGGGTTCGCCACAACACGGGACGTGGATTAAAGGGTCGCGGCATTAGAAAGGTTGAGAACCACTACTTTAGCGTCACACCTCGTTGACACCCTTTTTTGCCTGTTGACACTTTCTCGGGTGGCTTATTCTGGAATGGCGTTCTTGGCTGAGCCTGGAACAGTGGTCCTGGTCTGCTGGCCCTGGAACGGTGGTCCTGGTCTTCTGGTCCCACGAGAAGCGCGATCGCTGGTTCACTTCGGCGTTTCCGTGATACCATTTTCCGGGTAGCGAGGGCTTCGTGCCAGGCATCCATGTTTGCAACTGATCTCTGCACAGTATTAAATGTTGCTTAATGCAGCAGAGATCCCCGCACCCCACTCTCCACGCAGCCAGGGGATCCCAGGGAATGACAATGTGATACATCTTGGGACTGCGTTAACATTTGATCGTGTAGGTTTAGCCATTTATTTATGTATATATTGAGACACACAGACACACACACACACACATATATATATATATATATATATATATATATATATATATATATA